GAACTAAATAACTCTTTAAACTTTTTGGACCTAACTATAACTAAATTTCAGAACAAATTAGATTTTTCCATTTATCAGAAATCAACAGAAATTTTTAAAAAATAATTAAATATTATAATACAAATAGCATTCAACAATGATTACGAACCCTCTGTGATAGATAAAATTATAATTAAAAAACAGTTTGAAATAACTCTTCATTTCCCAAAATTTTTATCAGATGAGGTAGAGAACACTTAAGAAACGCATTAACGAACATAAAAGAGCGTATAAAAATAAAAGTTCGGATTCTAACTATGCCTTACATTTAAATTCAGAAATACACAAGTTTGAAGATAATTTTGATATTTTACATAATGAAACAAAAAGCAAAAATACTCACTTAAATGCGTCTCCGTTCAATTTAAATTTATAACCCTACACTGATTTATATATCGATGTCGAAATATTGTCATAGCTGTTAAGTAATAAATAACTGTGAAAATCTAACTATCTCTAACTAAATCTAACTGTGAATCTGAAAAATACCTCAGTTCAATTGATAATAAGATCTTTAAACGAGCTTGTGAGAAAGTTTTAAAAATAAAACAAATTCTTTACGCGTTTTTTTTAATTATAGGTTCACTGAATCCATTTTTTTTTAGTTCCTACTTTAAAATACCCAATTACCACGAATACCCACTTTACAACGTTTCATAAAGCGGATGTTTCCAGGCAACGCGTCGCTAAAACTAGCTAACGGTTGCAGAAAAAGCATAGTATACTACACGTTGATAAAGTCTAAAGTGTATACAATTAGTATATTATGCACAAATTTTATAAACGTAAAAGCGAGTTTGAACTTAATTAATTAATTAAAATATATTAAAATTACTTATATTAACACCCATTAAAAATATGAAATATGACTGCGTTGCTCTAATTAATTTTCCGATTATAAAATTTATCTCGGATTTTGTAACGACGTGGTCTCGGATCAATTTCGTAAAACCGATAAAGAACTTTAATACATGGTTGTGTTTTCATTTTGTACCGTAGCGTACTTATTACTTTAAATAAGGCGAGTGAATTAACTCCCTTTATTTAAAATTATCGCCGAATAAACACTTTCGCACCAGTAAATAAGCAAAATGGCAACACGATATTTCTAAACTTACTGGAGGAAATTTTCATTGAATTTAATAAGGCTGAGGGAAGTAATGAAATGCAGAAATGACGCCGACCCCCGACGCTGCGTTACATTCGAGACGTCCGATGGAGACCATATTTTATCTTATTAATTAAATTAAATAACGTATATAATACCTATGTCACGTTGAAGGATCGATCAATAAAATAAAGGTCTACACGGTACTGGTACATTTGAAAAGGGCTATTCAATGGTTCTTTGAATCAAAAATTGCTGTGGTGGAACCTCCACTATCAATGAGCTCAACATTGAGCTTATTGATTGGACATTTTCCGTTTTTTGGTGGGTGGGGGTGGGGAGGGGAGTGTTGCAGTTTTAGCAATACTGTCCTCGATTTTTGGGAAACAAAATATGGCGCTTCTCAGCTGCCATTGTTTTTGAGAAACACGGTAAAACAGAAAATTTGATCATTGCAGTTACCCTATTTATACGTAATTGCTGGGAAATAATTTTAAAAATACGTATAAATATTTACACTGTTGATTGACTTCCCTAAAATATATCAACATTTCGTATTTTACTACGATATAGGCTGTTTAAAATACAAAGGGTAACTGCAACTTTTCTGTTTTACCCTGTTTCTCAAAAACAATGCCAGCTGAGAAACGGCATATTTTATTTCCCAAAAATCGAGGACAATATTGCGAAAACTTTCCCACGGCTGAGCCATCTCACTTCAGAAAAATAAATGATATCTTCATTTTCATTTTCATTTTAGAAATGTTCGATAGTACATTTTCCAAATTTACAACTTTTGCGCAAAGTGCATGTTGATGGATTATGCCATGAAGTGGTAGAGGAGGCTATAGATATTTAATTTTTTCAAGCCTAGCAAACCAGTATTCCGATCCGTCATATTCTTTGCACCGTCAGTTGTCACATTTTTTAAATTTTCCCACTTGAAAAATTTAAAACTGCGGTAAAGCACCATGGAGTGATATTATGCGGCTGTATTTCATCTGTAGGAGTAGGTAATAATAACCAATATGTGTATTTGAATATATTAAGACAGCATCTTGTTGCTAGTGCCCAACAATTAAATATGGGTTGCAATTATCGGTTCTATCATAACAATGATCCAAAGCACACGTCATTTCGGGTCCACTGTTGGTTGCTTTACAACTGCCCAAATGTTATTAGGACACCACACCAATCACCAGACTTAAATGTAATTGAAAATTTGTGGTTGATATTAAAAAACAAAGGACCCAGAAGACTACAAGCCGTTACCGATAAAGAGGGAAGCCTGACTAAACATTAGCAGGAGTATTTCAAATTATGCAGTTGGTTTTCTCTATTGATTTGGTTATATTTTATTTTGCATCATTTAAGCTGTGACGTTAATATTGTACATAATTTAATTAAATCTTTGTTAATTGTTGTAAGTAAGGCATATTTAAGACAAAAAGTAATTCACACTTTTTTAGAATGCTCTTTACTATCTTAATTTCAATAAGTTGTTTGTTTTTTTTCAAATAAATAAAGAGACATTCAGACCAGTTAGTTTTTGTTATAGCGATTGCATCATTTAAGCTGTGAGTCACTGTATAATACCAATAAATTAAAAATAACATTTATTTTCCATTACCTATTGCAGTGAAACGTCATACGGTTGTCAATATGAACGGGTTTTTAGTAGTAAACTCAGTAGCAAACCGGTGCAATGAAAAAATGCTACACTAAGTGAGCTATTGTACTCGCTAAGGAATGGACACTGATTTGCGCAGTAAAATAGACTTTGCACTATGTTTCTGTTAGCGTGTATTTTTGCCACGCTCTAAATTTGTTGATTTTTTGTAAAATTATCTTAATGCTTTGGCGGGCCACGCAAAATTTGCAAACGAATGCATGCGGTCCCTGATCTAGGCCAATTATCCTCGTAAATGCCCAAAGATGAATTCGTAAATTATGCGAAAACTGTCTGGTAGATGGTGGAAATCAGTTTGAGCACTTTTTTTAAGTTTAATATTTTTTTTTTATTCTATTCGTATTTTTTGTAATAAAATAATGAGCTTAATAACAATAATATTACGTTAACTGGAATAAAATTAAGTTAGAAAAAGAGTACTTTTTTTTTAATGTAAAAAGGTACAATAACTATAACTTTTTTTATAAGCGAATAAAAAACGCAATCAAATAAAAATTATATATATCCAGGGTGTTCTGAGTACGCCGATGGATTTTACGTAAGAAGACATATAAAATTCAATTAACTGTTTCACCATGTATCTCAAAAGCAAAGCGAATTGTTAGTGTTTTTTTTTTCCTGAAAGAAACATGGTAACGTGCCAGAAAATATATGGTTTTTAAGGTTAAGCAGGTTATTTGTGTTTAATATTTTTTCACCTTTCTGTTAAAATCAAGTGGTGAGGTTAATTCAATTTTTTTAAATAAACAAATGACAAATGACTGAACGAAATGAACTGAAAAAACTTCGGCTCGTTGGAAATAGTATATTATGCAACAAGTTTGACAAACCCCAGAGGAAGTTTATCAATGTGTTGCATACTCTTTCAATGACCATTACTTTTTAGTTACCGCACGAATACAGACATTAAGTAACTAAAGTGAGTAAAGAATTGGCAAAATTTGAAATATCATCCGTGGCTAAAATCTACCGAAAACATAGGATCCCACGCAAGTCTGTAAATAAAGTACAGGAAATATCCGAAGTGACTTGCGGCTATGGGTAACACAGTTGGCGCCTTAAAGTGACACTTTCCGCCCGTTTTATCAGGTATCATCAAAACGCATCTGCTTTGTGATATGTCTAGTTCTTATCGACGCCGTCAGAGCGGGTTTTTTGATATATAATAACAGAATAATAACTCAATCCGTTCTTACCATAAAACATCAAAGAAAAACATAAGTTTCGACAAGTTTATCCACTAGCTAATGCTAGCACGAAAAGTTTTCATACTTTTTTCATCAATCAACGAATAACTGAGACAAAGTGAAGTGAATACCACACATTATATACAAAAATCGCGCAACGATCATATATTTCAGGAATTATTAGACTTAAAATCATGAAATTTATTATAAGGGGGTTTTTAATTAGGCCGAAACCAATGGATGCATAGGCGACGTTGCCACATTTATATATTTTTTTTAATCTGTTATTAAACATTCTTATTTTAAATAGACAGGGTATATTTTTATTCAATTTTTGTATTGCCCTTAAAATTCTCAGTATTTTTTCATGTAAAATACTATTACTATTAAAAAAAAACTGTACTTATTTTAATAAATGACAATGTCCTAAGGGGTCAGCTCTAATAGTTATTGCTCGAATTTTTGCTTTTATCCACTCTTCTAAGTCAGCCAAGGTGTTGGATTTGGTTTTTGGGTGACCCCAAAGAAAATTTAGAAAAGATTTGTTTCAGGTACTCTCTTACATGGTGAGGTGCCCGTCTTGTTCAAAACCATATGCGGTTACAATCATCGTGTTCGCATATAGTAAAGCTAATTCATAACCTAAAGGGCCATACCACTTATCCATCCTAGTTAGGAACCCCCAATACTGAAATATTTTTTCACATAAAACATGATGAGATAAATATTTTCTTTTGGGTTTGCCCGACCCATTTCCTCAGCAGTAAATTCAAAAAATTGGAAAACTCAAATTCCCTTATTTTAGAGGTATTTTGTTTTGTTCCATATTATAGTTGTTAGGAACCATGTTGTGAGAATATAAAACAATCACATTTAGGTGATTAAAATGTAATGATACAATTATCACTTACTGCAGTTCATTTTGTCATGAATTGCTGAATTACATGTGATAAAAAATAATGACTACTTTCCTGTTTTCATATATTGTAAACTGATTACAAGTTTCAAGTTCATTACAGCGTCACAGAAAAAGTCTTTAAAAAAAATATATCAAAAAATCACTCTATAACTGTTGCTTGGTAAACTGTAAAGAATAATAACTGGATTTGTTTTCTTCAACTTCAAGTCCCATATTTCATCACAAATATCGCCTAAATACTTTTTATGCCGTTGATGCCTATAAAATAAAATAAAACATTAAGTTTTTTAAAATATTTCTGCTCTACTAATCTTCAATACAGGAAAAAAACAGAAACTTACTTTCTTGAACACATATCAACAGACGGAAGAAAAGAATTTTCAGATTCAAGATTGAGAACAGAAGCTAATGTCGTTATAACATCTGATTCTAGATTAACACCTAACACTGCTATAAAACCTGTTAGTTTCTTAAACAGCCCATCTAGTTGGGATCGAACCTAAAAAAATGTAGTCACATAATATAAAACACACTATCCGATTCATTTCATCAAATATTACCTGATTTTCATATCTTTTTCTTGTATTGGAAGATAATTTCTCAACTGTCACAAAGGAGATATCAACAATCCTATCAGGTTCATTTTTTTCAATATACCCTGTTTTGCTTTCAGATCTCGAAATAGGTACAACTGCATGGGTGTTATCATGAAATGCTTCATTATTAGGTTTAAAAATTTTCTGTGCTGTTTCCAGCAATTCGGAAACTGTATACCTCTTTTCCTGAAATCTATTCTCATTCTTAAAATCAACATAATATATTCAGAATAGCTTCAAGGTCTCCTTACCTGTCTTTAGTATCTCCATCGTAACTTTTTACTCTAACAATTCCATGTTCATTGTCACTTAATATTATAACATGAGCCATTTTAACAAAATTTACTTTTTCTTGTATCTCATCATCTCCTACATCATGTACAACAAAGCATCTTATACCAGCATTCCACAACGATTTTTGGATCTGAAATTAGTGTATTAGCCTCGTTTAATATGTGTAATCATAAAAACAAATCCACAATGTGTTACAGCAAATTGTGTAGGAAACGATATACACTAACAATAACCGTTTAATGTTAAAAAAATATAATTTATACCCTTCTGGTTTCCTTCACCAAATTGGAAGAACTAGTATAAGACAATATAATCACTACTGGATCTGTTTTGGGCAACTCTTCCTCTTTTACAGATTGTTGTACTGCTTGCACAATTTTATCTACACGGATGGAGATACCCACGGCGGACTGGCTGACTTCTTTTTTTAACTTATTACCCTGTTCCATAACGCCTCGATAATATGAAATCATTGAATCATACCGACCCCCGCATGCTATAACTTCTTTAACATTGTGTTTGTGCTTCTTTTTTAGATCACAAGAAAATTCGCAAATCATGCCTGAGTATTGCTGGACATTGTATACGAGTCCCGGGGCAACCACAATATCAAACTGCAATAAATAATCATTGGTTAAAGTCAAGTACTTTATATCCAAGAGGCCTGATAAGCTCTTAACATTTCCTGGTTGATACATGTTTACCACTTGCGCATTTTACTAGGATACGTAAAAATTTTGAAATATTATCTCACAATATGTGCAGATCCCATTCAATGTTCAGCAAAAAAAGTAGATATCCCTATTTACAAATAAAATGGCGCAAAGTGGGTGAGGCCACTGTCTTAGCTAATAGCTACATGCATATAGCACTAGATAATATGGCACTATAATACGGTAAAAATTAATGCGCCGCAGGCGGCATTGATATTTGCGTAGAGAAGATAATGTAATTATCCGGGCATGCCTCTACACCTCCTCACCCACAAACTTGCACTTTGCGCCATTTTCTTCCTGAACTATTTTTACACAAGTAACTCATTTGCCTAGGCCATTTAACGATATCTGTGCATATTTTGGCAAAATACTGCCAGAAAAAGGCCGCTTCTGTCAGTTGTTGTACACCGCAAAGTCACTGCTTAAAAGCGAGATTTTAAATCTAGCACATGCGCATGATCTCAAAAATTTTTCATAGTGGCCTCATAAATGTCTGTGTTATTATTGCCTACAGAATTTCACACAGATGCAAGCAGTTTGGGTTATGGAGGAATTCCAGAAACTTGAAGCTCAGCCCAAAGTGGTTTCCGCTTTAGCAAAAGAACTACAACGTGCTAATACCATTCTTATTAATTTTCGTACTTGTTGTGAAATTACCAATTGTAATTCCATCAAGGCAACAATGCTCAAAAAGGATTTATTGCCCCGAATCGCCCAATGGTAGGTGTATTTACAAGACTTCAATTTTGAAAGAGTGTATTGTAAAGGCAGCAGATTACTCCATGTGGATCGCCTTAATAGAAAACCCAATGTACGGAGAATCATACATCAAGATTGGGCCTATAAGGAACAATTAGCTAGCGAAGAAATCCGAAACCTAATACAGCAGCTTAGAAATGGAAAGGCAGAGCGTTATATGAGTACCATCAGAAACCTCCTTAGAGTTGACACCTAGATAAAATCAGAATGGTCGAGCCGACTATAGAAAATATAATTGGTTTTAAATACTACAACGCAAAAATCTACAAATATGACTCCATCGCAACTTTTGTTGGGGATTCAACATTCAACACCTTTGATTCAAGCCTTATTGAAAAATTTGTCGAAATATTTGACACCAGTTCGTAATCGTAGTTTGGACAGACAGCGTGTAGCTGAGAAGCTTGCATCAAGTTCCATTTTGGGTAGCAGGAAACAAAAGCCTAGGGATAATGTTGCATATTGCACAGGGATTCGCAGATGCACATCAGCAAGAGCGATTATGAGTTTTTGGGACAGTATGAAGTTTTGCAGTGCATGAAGGTTATAATCAAGGCTGCTGAGGAACAACTTAGAGCATGGCCCCTATAATAGACTCAATATTGTGATATGCAAGGGATTCTAGAATTCATGAAAAAAGAATGATGAAAATGATTCCAATGAGGGATTATTTTAAAATTCTTTTTCTACGTTTTTGGTCTTTGTCTCTGAAGTAACAAACCAGGTGTAAGATTGCGGTCTTCACAAATATGTCCAAATTAATTTTTCTTTTGGTGTTTGCCTTGGAAGCAGCAAAGCTAGGTGTAAGGCTACGGTCTTCACAAATACGTCTATTGGTCAGGCAGATATTCTTCCTGCTCGGGTTAACTTTCCGCTTTCGATTATTTATATTCATGTAATAAACGTAAATGTGATTGGACTGTATACGTGTTTTAGCTTTTTTTTATTAATTTCTAATAATATATATAACTAAAAACAGAAAATTTAAAATTTCAGCAACAAAAACAACTGCCAATTATTGTCAATAAGCTACAAAAACTAAAAATATTTAGAATACACGTTTTATTGCTAAATAAGATAGTCAGTGGCCAAGTTCTAGCCAAAACAGTAAAAGAAAGTTACTCCTTTAAATTTTCATTATTATAAAATAATCTTGAGTGCACCGGCTGGGGAACTTAATAATAAATTTACTGACCTTAACTCCATATGATTCCGCATTTTGAATAATTAGTTTAAGATCATGTATAGCTTCCTTGGCCATCGAGCAAGCCTCCCCAGTTTTTTTCTTTGTAATTGTTTGAAAATGATTTGACAATTTGGATACTTCATATTCTGAATTCAAAAAATTCATTAACAAATTGATCATGTTATCTGAGAGACCATGACCAACGAAAAAATTCTGAATTTGATATTTGGGTATCTTTTCATACTAAAAGCAAGCTGCAATTAATTGACATTACGCGAAATATTATCTAATGATTTGGCTTTACCTTGTTTTCTAAAAGAATGTTAAACACTTCTTCGTGCTTTTCTTTTATGCCGCAATGTATAAGCACTGCCTTTAATAATTTTGCGTGATTTAACCTAATTAAAATGTGTTTATTTCTGGCACCTGGAAGTTCATTAATAATTTCATAAACTGTGTAGAGCACTTCTGCATCTGACAAAAGGTTCCCTGAAAATTAAAACTAATGTGTAAGCACCAAAGACATAAACCCAATTATCTTGTACCCGGTGTGGGTGTTACAATATCAAATGCGCATTCATAGTATTCCCTGGGCATGAAACCAACAACATTTTTTTCTTCATAAACCCTTTCCACAGAATATCTTCTTAAACACGTGATATAGTACCAGGCAACATATCTTGCAAATGGAACCCTGAAAAATTACATTGGCCTTCAATCAGTACCACTTAGATCACCTACCTAAGATCATGTGGAATTGACACAACATTACCAAAACGAGTCATGACTTTTACACAGGATTCAGTATTTTCATAATATTTACTTTTGGGCATAAACAAAGGTGTAGACAAATGTTCCCCACCATGTTTCTTGAAAATCTATAAAACCTGTCATAAATAGTTGGTTCAATTAGAGTCCTCAATAACATGCTTACTTTTACACAAAGTTCCATCACAAACTCATACAAAGGCCAATATTTTACCGAATCTGAAGACTGATCTTTATCATAAGTAATATCAAGAGCAGGAGACAGAGTCTGCTTCAAACACGCTGATATAAGGTACTTATAACCTAAAATATTATTCTTAAGAAAGATCACAACTAATTGGAAAATATATCCAAAAAATAATAAATGAATGCTCACTTTTTAATTTTGGATCGCTTAGTGTATTGACTACCATTTCTTGTAACTTCCTCTCTTCAAGCACAGGAGGTGGAATATACGGAGACTGCAACAGTTCTTGGGACGTTGGCCGTTTTGAAATGTCATGATTAAGTAGGGCTCTGTGTTTTACTATACAATTAATTTTCAAATTTCAGAATATTTTACATTTTAACCTACCTTACCAGATGAAGAGCACGTTCATTCTTTGGATTAAAATCATTGGGAAAAATTATTTCTTTTAACCTTAATTTACCCAATAATTTATTTCTTTCCATTGCAGTCTTCAGTGGTTTGTAACACATTTCAAAGAGAATTATACCTACAAAAAATATTTTAATAAGGAATAATCAGGACTATTGACAACTACATTTAATTGTCTACATTAAAAACTTGGTAAAATACCAGTAGAACTTATCCAGAATTCCAACAAAGTAAAAAAAAATTGTTACATGATAAGAATTGTCATATACTGTTATATGAGAGGAACTTTTAATCAAACTCTATACACACATTTTTAAATACCTATTTTCCAAATTTGTTAAGAGATAAAGTTTTGCAAATTAAGTCCAAATCTTGCATATTAGTAAGAAACGCTTACAAAAAAACTGAATGAACCATACTACCTAAACTATATATGTCGACTTTTTGATTATATATAACTTTTGGAAGATCCAGAATTTCAGGAGCCACATACAGGGCTGTACCAACTTGGCCAGTTTTGCTTTCCTCTGTAAGTTCGTCTCTTACCACATCCGATAAGTTTTTAGACATGGCAAAATCGCCGGCGGTTGATCGAATAGCAATCGTAGTAGCTAGACCAAAATCCCCAATTTTGACATGATCATGCGAATCCAAAAAAATATTTACAGGTTTGAGATCTCTATGAATCATACCACGTTGATGAATATATGCCAAACCTAGAAACAGATAATACAAATACATTTTCAAATAATATTAGCGAATACCTCCGCGCAAATCTATCAATCTACACAACAGTTAACTATTTGAAGGAATACACTCCTTTCTTATAAATGATAATTAAGTCCAAACTTAATAAATGCCATTTTTTACCGTCAACCATTCCCGTAAATAATCCCCAAACCCTATCCTTATCTAAATATAACTATTTAAGTCAATACCCTCCTTTCGTGTTAATAATAATTATTTCCAAACTTAATAAATGCCGTTTTTTACCTTCAACAGTTTCCCTAAATAATCTCCAAACCCTATCCTCGTCTAAATATAAATTATTGTCAATTGCGGTCCTTAATGTACTTTTCTCACAAAACTCCATTTGAATATACATATAGGCCTCTTGTTTTATTATTTCCGGGACGATCTTAATTTGTTTTGCCGATTTTATAGATGCACTAGATAATTCTGATTCTGATTCTTCTACCGATCCTTTTTCAAATTGTATGCTTTCAGAATCAGTGTTAGAACTCTTGCAGACACTAAAAATTAGAGGTAATTAAAATACAGCAGGACTTCTATCATCTCAGTAACTGAAAAGTTTTTTACCCCATGTGTCCTCGCCAAGCTTCATCTTCACTACTAGAAGAATCATCATCAGACGAACTTACAAAAAGTGCCTGCGATTTACTATCATATGTGATAGATATTTCAAAGTTTTTCATAGGAAGACCTAATTTTTCCAGATCATCAACGAGGGACGTCTATAAAAATATACACTGCACATCATTCTATCCACCAGAGCCATAAAACTAAAGATAAGAACATCACACCTAGCTTCACCTCCCAAACCACATATTTAAGTCGGATTAAATTTTAGTTTGTTTCAATTCTCTTGAGATTTCAATACCATCGGATGTCTCCAATCAAAGTTTTGTGTTAATAACACAAATACAATTATGACATTTCTTTTTAAATATGAATTTCGCTACCACCGTGAAAAGAACTGGAAAACTTAAACGATACACAAAAGATGAACCAGAATTGATTGATTATATTATTCCAAAATACTGGCAACAAAAAAAATCCTAATTTACAAGAAGATGAATTAAATAATAATGTTCCTTTGGTCAGCATTTGTTCTTGAACTAAAATAAAAAGAAATAGTATATAATTTTCCATTTCTTATGAACAGAATATTGAATTCTTGCAATATATATAGTCCGTAGATTGCAATGTTGTATAAATGGCGGAATGGACTTTTATGTTGTATATCTCAAGATTATAAAGTCTGGCAAAAATAACCAGCGGCGCCCGTTAAATAAAAACAGGTAGAATTTTGGGAGGATTAAAAAGTTTTAAAAGTTTTGTAGTATGTTGTATAGTGTGGTTATAACTGGAATAGTTAAACGCGTCAGAAGGATATGAGACTCGAGACTTAGTCTTTAGGTTTGCAAAACCCAAATTTATAATAAATAAATATGGTAACACCCTATATAGTTATTGCCTCTTTCTCTCTTGATTCCAAGAGTCTTGGTGTAATAAAGATACATTTACTTTTCCCTAGCATAGAATATATTTCGTTATCAGTATAGAGTCTACTTCCATCTAGTTTTTCACACTATACACATTATGAGGTATTCCAAATATTAAGGAAAAATTAAAAATTATTTTTCAAGATTTTGATGAAGTCGCCGTGCTTTTCCTCGTGTTCAGTTATTTTCCGACAAAATAAACATATGATTACTTCATTCTATACTTATAATTAAAATTTGTTTTTTAAACACAAAACTGGACATCATAGAAGAACATCCCGCGCGTTTTACCTGGTTATTTTTTAATTCTTTGGGAATGTTAGTTTTTATGTTGGTCTCAGCTGAGGTTGTAATACTGCTATTCATCTCATCTTCGGAATCACCTTTCATAGTCGTAGTCTCTATCCAAGCGTTATAATATCTCACTACATTTTCATGAAGAGTTCTCGATAACAACATAACTTCTCGGCCAATTTTTTTATTCAAAACTTTTTTTTGAGGATTCAGTTTTATCCTTTTTATAGCGTAAAAGCGTCCATCCAATTTATTTTTTACCTAAAATTGTTTTTTAAATGTTTAGATATTATTTATAATTAAAACACCCACTTCAGTAGGCAGAAATAATAACAGAAAGTTAATTTAATGTGTTCTGAACACATTTCTTTCTAAAAACATAAATAATAATGTATAAAGCAGCATACTTTCTATACCTTTAAAACATCGCCAAAAGCGCCCTTTCCTAAAAGTTCCATAATTTCAAATTCAACATCAATTCGGGACTGGCCACCAGTACTACTTTTGGAAAGAGCTGATATATTTTGATGTATGTTAGGAGATATAGAACGATCCATGGGTAAATTTTCAATAACCTCCGCTTCTTGAAAGCTAACTTTGTGTTTATTAAAAAACGAATGATGAAGAAGCTGACTCGCAGTCGGACGAGCTCTTTCGTTTTTGTTCATACATCTGGAAAATGAAAATAATGTACATTATGTATTATCAAATGATAATAAACAATCAAAATTGCAAAACTGCAATATTTGTGTGCAATTATTAATAGGCTCTTTCTTAAGTTTCAGGTGTGTTTTTCAATATGTTCACAGTTGGGAACTATTCTGCTTATATTATATATTATTATTATAATCTTACTTATTGATGTTGCAGACAGTTAAAAATAGCATTAATTATATAGAGATAAAGTTAATTTTTCTTCTATTTACTTTTCTAATAGATCGACAAGCTCAGTCGATAATGTATTGGAAACATTAATCTTCTCAACGCAACATAGAGCTTGCAACAATTTTCCAAAATCATATATGTCAGATTTTTTCCCATAATTTCCATGTACCGTTGTCAATAAATCTGACAAACGCCTATGGATGCTATATTCTGCAACTTTAATACAACCTACAAAACACATTTTATTTTAAAAAACTAGAAGAAATATTTACTAACCTTTATAATCAACCAAAACGCACGAATCTGTAAGATTTTTATGAACAACATTATTTCGATGCAGATATTCCAAAGCCAGCAACACCCCCTTAGCCAAATATCTCAAGCAGTCGATGCCAGGTTCAATATTACGTTCCGTGAACAACGAAAAGCAAGTAACTCCTAAAATTGAGCCTAAATTAATATAACTCTAATCAAAACTAAAAAACGAAGCAGTTTTACCACAAACAAACTCCTTCAGTAAATGAACATTAATATATTCACCATTAATTTCATATTTAAAACCTAGATAGTGGCTCAAATTGACGTGTCTCAACTTTGCAATGTAATTCACTTCCTGGTCAATGCTAGAAAGCTTTTGTGTAAGGGGCAATTCATATTTATTTTTAATTTTCCATACTAAAATCTCTAAGGCCTCACCAGTATCTATATCCATTCCAAAAAATGATACATATTCTTTACTAAAATGTCCTGAAAAATATGTTACATGCATTTAATTAAGCTAGGAAATGGGTCTTTGGCATATTGAAGCCTTGGCATATTGGAAATCGTTTTATCCGTATTTGATAGATATTTGGATTTAATTTAAAACTTACCATAAAAATAATCTCTGTGTAGCAAAGAAATTGCTAAAATTATTTCTGAAATTTCTCAAATGGAAATGAACTTTTTACACTATGAGTATAAATTGAGAAGTCTTCGGGATAGCCAAGAAAAAATAACAATTAAAGATTAAACAACAATTTTAATTTCCAACAATCCCTGTCAGTAATGCAATTGGTCGCTGGTGTAAATAGTCACTTGTAGCAGCAATTTTCAAATTTGGGATACCAATTCAATCTTCATCTTATTAACTGAGTGTTGAAATAATATATCATAAAAACAACGGGTAAATTTATACTGTGTCTGGGTTAGGCGGAAAACTTTTCAATGTATCTCATAATTTTTCAAAAAAACTTCCGCAGGATAATTGTTGTGGTATTAACCACTATTTACAAATCTTCAGCATTCCTCCTGACCTTAACTAACCAAAACTAACCAAAAATCTCTCAACATCTTCTACTTATCAAAGACAATATTCTGTTTGAGATACTAGGAGTTTACAGCATTCCATGCATATGCGGCGCAGGATATATTGGAGAGACAAAGCAAAAATGATTGGCGAAACGTCAGCAAGTTCGATTTCTCAGGAACCCACTCAGGAGGAACCCAGAAGATTTGTAAATAGCATTTTGGGTCTATTTTCGGCCCTTTATAAACATATAAAATAAAACACCTTATACATTTTAACAATTATCCATAAAAGATCATTTCCGGTATGGTTCACATCCGAAATAATTCAAAAAACACCAATACAACAGTTCAGAGTCGGTTTTAATCCAATATAATACGTGCAGACCGTAAAAGAATGATTGATGTCGCATATAAAAACCACATATTTAAAGCCGAAAATGCGGTCACAGAGGTTCCGAGACGTTAATTGCCAGAAATTTTCACATACAGGGAAGAGAGTTTACACCAGCCCTGAAGAGATTGTTAATGCTTTTGGTAATTTTTTTGGGGGTATACAAGACTCAACAACAGATCCCTCAGTTGAATGTATTTTTTAATGCATTTATTACTGTTGATCACTTAACTGATGACACTATATTAAGAGCATCAGCACGAGTTAAGAACAATCTTGTGGTCCTTATAAAGTTCCTTATTTGGTTGTGCGAGATTGCGCACATGCTTTAGTTAAACCCATGTCTCTTATTTTTAACTAAGCCCTAGCAACAAACATCTTTCCAGATGTCCGGAAGGAGGCCAGAATTACTCCCGTCCTAAAAAACGGACAAGCATCTGATATATCCGATTACAGGCTTGTATCGATAATATCGCCTTTTGCGAGGGCCTTCGAGATGTCGCTGCATGATAGTATTTTCTACCAAATGAAACACTCGGTAAACCACAGACAACATGGTTTCTTTAAACGTCGAAGCACCATCAGAAAATTTGGCTTGCTTCACGGAATTCACTGCTAAGGCTTTGGGCCACGAGAGACGAGTGGATGTGCTATACACTGCTCCCTAAATTGAGGATGCTTGGATTTTGTGATTATCTTGTAGCATTCATAAATTCATAAAAACTAACCAAACCTAACCTACCCATGAATACAGATAAATGTTTTGCAATAACATTTTCAGACTGATACTATAACTTTTAATTATCACCTGGATAACGTATTATTAAGAAAATATCTCAATTTTACAGAACAGGGTGTAACATTTGACACAAAACTCTCCTTCAGAAATCATATCGATGAAGCCTGTAGAAGTGCAATTCAGTTGCTAGAATGCATAGTGAGAAATTCTAGAGATTTCGACTGTTATACTATAATTATGCGCGCTAGAAACTAAAGTACCGTTCAACAGTGTAGCAACCAATATTTGGTCAGTACAACACTCAAATCGAAATGCTACAGAGAAAGTCTGTGAATTTTCTTCATTCTCACTTTCAATCTGGCTAGGGGACTGCCACAGAGTGATTTATTACTAAGTTTAAAGTTCCGTCACTGTTAAATGAATGAACGATTGAATGAGTTGCTAAGTCAGCTGAACTTTCATGTTCCTTCAAGGACTGCAAGAGCATAACCAGAATTGCACCTAGTAACTCCAAGAAGCAATGTTTTTGATTAAAAGTCCTCTCTATCAGTTGAGGAAATCTTTTAATGACTTCTACAATGACATTTTTGTCTTAGTCGTTCACAGTTTACCATATTAATTACTAATAAATTTCAAATACTATAATGGATTATATGTTTCACTATTACTTTGCTGGAGTGAATATAGCTGACTACTTATTCTTAAGATGAAATTGTCTTCTAAATTGATGTTAAGCTGTTAGACAATAAAGATTATTATTATTGTAAAGATTATTATTATTATATGATCTGCTTTTTTAAAAATTTTTACTTTATAGCTTCTGTAGTATTTAACTGTAGTATATAACCCAAATTTGGACTGTAGGTAATAGTAGGGTTTATATCTTTCGTTCTAAGAATTTATGGAGTGATATTTTCTCTCCTGAACTTTCCATAGGATGTAATATACTAAATGAATTTGTTTGGCTTTGAAAATTTTATTCTCTTATGGTTTTTAATTTTTCAATATTTGTAGAAGTTTTAAGAACTATTATTTTTTTACTCTAATTCTTATAAGTACTTATTATGTTTACTTTTGCATTGAGTCTAAGAATTTCACTCGTTTTATCATATTTTTGCAATTTTACTGTAGCGTACTTATGACTTTAAATAAAAGTTCTATATTGTATTTTACAAACTACTACAAAGTTATAAAAATTATCTTACTTAAACAGTGGCCTCTTCTAATGGTTCTGCCACTAAATTCCATCAAAACGGTGCTTTTATGATCAGAGTGTGAATCATTTTCCAGGCAAATATGATCCGGACTTCTAAAATTCGTATTTTTTACTCAACAACAAAACATCCATATAATTTAGATTACACAAACATTTTGAGGTTATTTAAGAGGAAAGAGATGATTACTTTTAATATAACACTGAGAAACTGGAGAACTATACTCTGTTTCTTAATGCGAGAGATGCGAGAGAGTCATAAATCATTGAACTGTAAAACTTTGTGGTCTTAGTCGCATTCCGTCGGTCGCCGTTGTACCTATGATTGTCAAGGGTTTCGAGAGTGGCAAGTAGAGGAACAGGTAGTTGACGTATTTGCTTTAGTGTTTTAAGTTAAAATTATAGTTACTTTCTGGCAAGTTGTTGGCAAGGTTTGTTCTTGAAAGGGACTGCACTTTCTAAAAATGAGAAATTTGTTCAAAGCTCTTCGTCATCTCAACTTAAATTTAGCATTCTGAGTGGCAAAAATTGTTGAAATGTGATCGAATATGACTGCAGTTGAAGAGTCAACAACATATCAATATCAGGTCACCCAAGAGACGCACAGGAACTAAAGAAAATGTAATAAATGAGGATGAAAAGCAGAAGAATAATACACTAGTTTTACCTTGGAGAAAATAATGTCTGAAATGAAAGAGGATGATTTCATTCCACCAATGAGTAAAAATAAATTACGGAAAACTGACTAAGTGAATTAAATCCTTAAGAATTGGTATGGGCGCAAGTAAAAGGGCTTGTAGCAAGGCATAAGTAGAAGAATGTAGGACGCTGATAACATGCTAGAAAACACTGTAGAGCCCGTTATTTCTCTAGACTGCAATGACTATAGTTCAAACAAAACATTTTTTAAATAATAATATTTATCTGTTTTCATACTATTCTTACTTCTATTTAATCATTTATTTACTTCATCATAGAATAATTAATATCTCAATTATCTGCTCACCTTTATAATTATAATCATGTATAATTATTATTATTTATTATTCCAATAAATTACCTGTAATAATGCCGCTGCCACATTAAATTTATTCACCAAACTCGTCTTCCTATTGTATGTAAATTAGTGCAAATAGTTGCAATTTATCTGAATTTTACTATATAACCTTTAAGTTGTCCACCCTGTCATTATAAATTTATATTTTGTTTCTCTCTTGCATTAAGAAGCAATGTATAGTGCCTAGGGCAAAAAGAAAAAACATTTTGTTCATTTCTAAAACATTAAAAATTGAATCCCTTCAGATTAAATTTTATAAACAACAACAAAATTAAAACAGAAACATTTGGCAATTTACCTAAAATCAGCAGAAAATTTTCTGGGAATGTTTTCTTCATTTTCATCATCAGATATTTCCTTCCGTATTTTCGATTCGGCCATCAACATTTCTTGTCGTTGCTGAACTTCTTTGATTATATTTTCTTTCTTAAAATAAAACATTATGATACTCTACTATTGAAGGCAAAATATAAGAATCAAGTTTAGTATCATATGTTATAAACCTTAGTATTACTTAATTTTAAATTGATTAACTAAATTTTAAAAGTGGATGAACACTTACACTACGTATCTAAAACTTATTGTATAAAAAATTACATGAAATAAGGGTATTTAGTGCAAATGAAAACAAATAATGCAAAATAATCCTTGTAAAATGTATACAGCTGCCAACAACTTCAAGAATAAATATGATTTGATACAGTTATTATTGAAATGTTGAATTAACATTGTAAATTGAATTAATTTATTCAAAAAATGCATTCACTCTTTTGGGCATCCAATGGTCAAAATGAGGTTAATTCAACTAGTCATGCTTAAAAATGTAAAAAATTGGACAAAATATTTTCAGCAGTTTTGCAGTCATTTTATAAAAATCAATAAAAAATATTCATCCTGAAAAGTGACAAGTATTTAAAGTTAAAAAGAACCTTAATATTGTTATGTTAAATAAATTCCCTACTATAAACGTCTAGTCTAAAAAATTTTATAAAATGTATCCAAAAAAAGAGGACATAACAAAAGAACAGAAAAGTAAATAATGTAAATAATGAACATGGCCTACTATCTATGTAAATTTCTATATGTATCAGCATAAAAATTTCATTTTTAAATATTACCATCCGATTTTGTTCCAGTTCTTTCATTTGCAATTCCAGTAATTGCTTTTCTTGTTGCTTCAATAACATTTCATCATATAAACTTTTCATAGCAGGTTTGTTGTGATTATATAAAAACTCGTGGCCATACTGACACAGCTGGTATATCATTTCTTCCCCTTGTAATTTTTTAGCTTTATACTCAAGCTCTGCTTTCAATTGAACCAGTAAGGCAGAAGATATACCTCTGCTATTTTCAAGTAATATATTGGGAACTCTGCAATATTTACATTTTGGTAATTAAGAATTTGAAAAAGCATATAAGTAGTAACTCATTTGGATAATTTTCAGAACATATAATATGGAGATCCAATTTCACATAAATCTCTCTAGGACCAGAACTTCCTTGAAATGGAGTTAATGTAATTGACAGATCTAAAGGAGTCCATTTATTCCAAGCTGCTTTCTTTCGTTTATCTTTTAGATCATCTGCATATATTGCCTAGGAATATTACAATCTTAAAATATAATTAGAAAAATTCATTGCAAACCTACTTGGAGTGCTTCAAATTCATTATTCTGCCGTTCTATAGTTTCATTTAACGACATTTTAATATAACTAATGTTAATTTCTTAAAGATTTCATTTTTTTTATTCATCCATTTAATACTGCTTTATTAGTGTTTTGCATTTAAATTTGTAAACCAATTTGACATTTTGGGGTTATTCTTCTTCTTTTTCTATGACATCATGCTTTCCAAAAGATTGCCGCCCATTCACAAGATGAGGGGGTATTACTGTAGTCAATATTTTCTGTAAGCAAATTCACCAAACTAACCAGAACAGTGAATATTAAACAATGTCTTCACAAAATAACGAAGTTTATTTACAGGGTTACAATTGTTACATTTGACCGGAAAAAGATGTTTCTGAACCTGGCCAAAAAAAAAACCATTGCTACCAAAATTTATCAATGATCTTCGGCACGAACTTTCTTTGGTTGCTTATCTCTTGTACCATAGATTATAAATTTAGCAAGACTTATACAGCCCAGTCTAAATGACTTGCATGAGCCAATTTGAGAAATAAGAATCAATTCTCGAATATCGTATATCATATGGAAGACATATTTCGTATTATTTAGTTTTTCTAACTGCAGTTTTCATTTCTTGTGCCCAGAAAGTCTTTTTTGAGACAAAACTATGACACTTCTTTTCTGTTTTTATCTAAGAATCTATACGCGACAGGCGTACAGAGGGTAATGATTTTCCGCATGCGCATTGCGGATGCCTCCATATTTCATCCATTAACCTGCACTTTGCGCCATTTTCTTTCTAAACAGCGATTTCCACATACTTAATTACTTCTTATTACTTTTTTTAAATAGTTGCAAAATAAGTTCTTGTATTATCGGCATAGCCCGAGCAAGGCGTTTAATTCTAGTATCTATATGGTTCCGATATATCTCATTCTATTCAAAATCAAAATTTTCCCTTGTAATCGTCCCCAAAAACTTTGAAATCGGTATCCACAGTGTGGATTTACTGTTTTTAGTGTTCAGTGAATGTTTTAAAGTCATAATCATGGTCGGCTCCGTCGTTTTTTCCTGTTCACGCCGGTATGGCGGCCGGATGGATCCGGATGGTCCGAGGGGGAAGCGGAGGAGGCCGTTTTTTGTAATCGGTCAAAGAACCATTTTTTTGTTGAAATTCCATTTTGTATATGTAACAAATCCGGAGGATAATGGATTGGCCCAGACCCTTCTTTTAAGAAGGTATTATTTAGGATATTTGAATAAGGTTCATAATTGTGTAAGCTGGCCGAATGACCTTATGTAGTCTTGGCCATTAGAAGTAAAGAAGAAAGAAGAACCATACATTATTGGTTTAGATTGTTGGTAATTACAATTACATGAGTGCATAATTTTGAGCGGACATCAATTTTTTAATAATATAAACTGTAGGTCTCCGGTGTAACCGCGTTAGGAGTTTTTTTATATTTCTTAATTACAACATTTTTTACTTCCGTCTTTCAGATCTCGGTGCAATCCAATGGTGTCGGTGTGTATTTGAGTTGGCGTCTCTGTATGTGCGATTGCTAAATTATTTTATTCTTTTAAAAATTACTTTTACAACATATTCCAACAGAATATTGGTTGAATTGTTGCTGCCTAAGGTGGTTTCTAAAGGGTTAAAACCAAATGGTCTAAATGACCTTTAAAAACTTCTTCATTTTTATAAATGACTAAAGCAGGTCGTGATTGATTACTGCAGAGATCTTGATCCACAAAAAAAAACAAAATGTACAGCGGGAGACTATTAATTTAATTTTTTGGAAAAGTATTTCCTTAAGGGATGTCTTGCGCACTATTTGATGAAACATTACGATCTGAAACATGTAGAATCAACAAAAGGTTCAATGAATGTTCTTTTTACTAGTATATGATACAGTAATGGTATACAAGATAAACAGACACCGTAATTACGCTAAAATTACATCTAGTTACAGTTTTAGACATGGCTCGCGCATGCGCATATTGAATAACTACTTCGATATTTTTTATGTTGATTTCCAAACTGTCTGCATTGTCAGCATAGGCCAAGCCGATATATTTACTAACTATATGGAAAGTTCATGCACCAACATGCACTTGATGCCATTTTTTATATAGTAATCTGGGCATATTTTGAGAAAGTGAAATCTTTTTATTTTTCCCTTCTAAATATTTTTTGATGTTACGAATGTCCTATGTTATCTAAATAATAACTGACCTGTATAATTACATCCAGTGCTATATAGTTTTAACACACACAAAACAATATTGCCTAATTGTTCCACCTCGGTGGTTAATAATCGTTTGTTGGAATGTTTTTATTTTAAAACATTTTCAACCCTTAATTTTTTTTACGGAATACTTTGTATATTAATTTTTGTTTTAGAATTATTTAAATAAAAAAATGACAGTCATAATTGTGATTAATAATATAACAGTCAACCTCGGTAAAATTGATTAACTGGAAAACTATTCAGCAAAATGTTGCAGGAGAAGTTGAAAAATAAACCAAATATTTTACATTTTTATTAGTGAAACCAGGCACAAATAAATTCTTTTTTGTGAGACCTAGAGTAATAATAATTAAATCCTAAGTAAACTAGATACAGATTAAACTTATACTACATATGTACACGCAAACAAATAAAATAAAATTTTGGAAATATACAAAACTCTAGATTTGAACTGACAACCTTCACTTCAATTTTATAAAATTAGCTTTTAAAATAGCGACTTTCGTTTAAGTGTTCCTAAAATATAGTTTATTAACACGCAATTGCTATTTTAAATAGTAACATAAATTATAATACTTTTTATTCTACTTGTAAATATTTCTTTCCATTTTGATTCAATTGAAGTTTGAAAAATATTTATGTCCTATTTTTGTCATTGGTCAGAAATCACAATTTTCTGCTTTAAAATTCAGTTAAAATTTCATGAAGAAAGTATATCTAACTAAAATTAACCGTTTATTGGGTATGGTTATGATTTCAAATTGGTATATACTAACACTGCCGATTTCATTGTATTTGCGTTTGTAAACTTCAAGGCCATGTGAACCAGCCAAGCAGCTCTTTCGAAAGAAAAAAAAATTGATTAATAATAGTATTAATATTGGTATCTATCAACAGCTATTTTTCAAATATTAAGTTTCGGAGGTTGTTCCTGTAAGAATCAAAGCTCAAACAAATATCCGAGTACCTGGTCTAAAAAGGAAGTCATTCTCATCGACTGACTTTCCCAGGCCTTTAATACGCTTGTGCAACAAACTTGCTCCCTTTAAACAAGTCATATACTGTTGTTGCTTATCACGCGTCCATAATTTCAACATTACTTTTGCAGCAGTACGAGTTTTTGATATATAAATCGTTTCTACCCCCTGCTTTTTGATAAGACTTGTTTCATAGTGACAAAAGTAGTCCAATTGTTGTAAGGGGTCCACTTACCAAATAAAACTCCATGAGCTAAGTGGTCAGTTAGGTAATTTCATAATTTTACAAATAAACCAAAGGTATCTAGAATCTAATATACCATCCTGGGCCACCCAGGTCTACTAATTTCAATAACAATGAGTTACAGCAAACTTAGTGAGGTCAGCGCCATATTCAACTATAAGTAATTTTCTTTGTTATTTGGTATTATTTGATATGATCAAGTACAGTGAAAACTTCCTAACTCAACAAGCTTACTATTGCATAACCTTTTTTGAAGATTTAATGGGATATGGGACTTCTTACAACTACTGCAGGTAGATTAACTTTGGATAATGTGGATATACTTACAGGCTTAGTTTAGCTATAAATATGTGGATGTCTCCACCTATAGCTATTTTATTTCATATTGTCCGAAACTGCTGCTATAAACTACCATTACTATCTAGTTGTTTTCAGGCAGCCTTCTATATCACAAATAACTGTTATTTTTATTAATAATGTGGAGGTTTTAAATTGAGTCAACATTTCAAGCAAATGAAATAAAATAAAAAATTGTGATTTAGCCTATGTATTCTTCGATATAAGTAAAGTAAAAAATAAAATGTTATCAATTATTTCCTTAACAATGAAACACAGTTACAAATTTTCGATTAACAATGTGTTATCTTAACAATCTTATATTACACTAAATACTAACCAGTCTTAACAATTCACACAATTTGCAGCTAAACTTTAAATTTCGTGTTTAGTCAGACAAAAAATAAATGAGCCCCCGCCCCCCTACCGAATGCACAAGAAATGTTTTGCTTATTGGTATGTATTAAATTTTTTGAGCCATTCAAGCTTTCGTTGTTTGTTAGCATGGAAAATAAAACGGCCCTATTCGCAGTGTGAACTAAAAATGCAATGTTAAAAAAATATATCAAATAATATTTGACAAGCCAACATTTCACAAGCTTACTGCGACATATTTCATATGTTCATTTCTTTTTTTTCGGCTAAATTTTTAACTTAATGACTTTCACTTTTTTACCAAATATTTCATTTGTATAAAATTTCTTGCAAGCCTCATTGCGTTAATACTAAAAACAGTTTAGGCCCCTCGCAAACATAGTCACTTGTACCACTGTGCGACAAATAAGCTCGGTTTTTGACTCTGTTTCTCTGTAGTCGGTATTAGTCACAGTTTCGAAATGGAATCACTCGCCACAGTGGCCAAGAATTAGCAAAGACCAGAGACAGACAAAAATATTGTCTCAAATTTAGAAATTTTACTCCTTGTCATTTAAAACATATTAAAAAAATATCTAATCGAAAAACAAGATGCTTAAAAGATTTCTGACTAGTAGATAAATGAATAACTTCACATTGTGCTCTCCAGTGGACCCATTAATACTCTTGTTGCTCAGAAAATGAAAACCAGTACCTTTCGCCATTCCAATTTTAAAGTGCATAAAAATTGAATTGAGCTGAATCAGATTTATTTATTTGTTTGTTTGTTTTTATTCTTGAAATCATCTTGAAGACACAGACAAAAGCTTGTCGTTTTTGAATAAATCCAATAGATATGATATAATATTTATAAAAATTAATTCGGTTTCCGTTTTGTTTAAAAAAATAGCTGATGAAGTCATATCACATTAGGGACATTAAAAAATTCTTACATCAAAAAAAGCGCAATTTCTAATCCTAATCAATGTGTCAAAGCCTATTTTTGAAAAACAGCTTCCTTTGATTTACTGAATTTATTCCAAGTTAGACACTGCATACATTTATATAATAAGCAACTCACAAATTTCGGTTTCTGTGGTTCTGTTGGAATATAAATTCGAATGCATATCCCCAATAGTTGGGATGATTTTCAATTTGTTATAAAAAATAGCAATATCTAAATAATGTTTCAAGACCTAGTGATGACTCGGAATAGAATGAAAAAACACTTTCATCTAGAGTCAGTGAATGAATGCTTTTCTGGAGATTATGTATGGTCCAGATAAAAAGTTGCTAATACCATGTAGATTCGGTTTGTGGTGAGTCCAGCGCTCACAAGTGGTGCATTTGTAAGTGGCCTAAATTAAAATTATTATATTACAGATCACTAAAATAAACATAGGTACACGCGAACCTTACCAACAAACAAAGTATTTCCCTTCAAAGTATTTTTCACAAATTGAAGCAATAAAAAAATTACGTCTTTCGAACAAACTTGATATCAATCAATAGGGACCAATTCTTTGAAACATTTAGTAAACGAACCTTTCTTTCAATCACACAAATATATTACCAATATTTTCTCTATTTACATTCATTTAATAGCCAGTGTTAAGCGGATTCCTGACTCTCATCAATCATGACCCTTACAAAAACTTTTATTTGGTAAATGTTATCTCCAGGAATTGCTACGAATTTTATACAAAAATTAATTCTAAATTCACCACTTTCCTCTAACATGTAATAGTTTAATTTTATCGTTGAAGGCTGCAGAAAAGACAACTTCAATAGGGTCTGATAAAAACAGTAAAATAAAGAGGAAGGAAAAAAATATCTGACGATAAATCGCACCCAAGGATAAATTTAATTAAATAATGTGCCAAAAATAATCATGTTATGCATCATAAATAAAGCTTTGGTAAACTATAACCTATAAAGGGCTTATTCACAACTATGTATAAACTTCCTCCTTAGATTTAGTTGTTTGTACAACATTATAGCAAAGACAAACATTGATTCACTCTCTTTAATCCACGTTGTCTTGAAATATAAGTCGTACGTAACCTGGTGAACCAGATAAAGGCGAAGCACAGAAGGGACACACCGCCTGGAATCCATTTGTTCCGTGCGGGATAACCACATTTGCCCAATACCTAATAAAAAAATTACCAATTGTATGGTTCACAAGTGTGAATAATTTAGTTCAGAGCAACATGTCAACATCAATCTTAGTTTTAGTGTTCCACTTACAAAATGTTTATTGTTTATTATTATAGCATTTTAATTATCATTACTTAATATACCGAGTGCGACTGGCCGGACCTCGTAACTCGCATTTGAGTAATTTTCCCTTCATTATTTGAACAATTAGAGAACCACTAGGTCAATCCGTTAGCAAAGCTTTAAATCGGCCGAAAAATTGGTAAAGTGTCAATAATGCAGTGTTGTTGTATAGATGTTACCTCATAAGTGACGTTTTTTCACAGTTTTTTTGATTTTTCATTTTTGAAAAAAGGATGCTTTCCACTTACGAAGTCCTGGCGTGTAGCACTCAATATGTCTTTTTTAATAGGGCTTATAGGGTATAACACTGAATATCGATTCAGCTTTATCCAAAACCATAAGTAAGTATTTGAAAAAGAAAACCATTTTATTTCCAATTTGCAACCTACACAAAATTCTTACTCACTTTACAGTCTTCTCTGTGGCCATATGTCCGCAAGGATTAAACGCAAATGTTGGTAATCCTGAATCAACATAAAATGCTGGCTCTAACCCCATGAACACTTTAACAACTGGGCCCAGCTAAAAAGAAATCATTTATGGATGTATGGACCGATCAAAATATAATATCAAAAATTTACCTCCAAACAAATGGGACACTTTCTTGCTCCAGAATCTCGATCTTGGCCCCAATCATGCAGTCCCTGAACATGGCCGCAATTAAGGTAGACGTAAGGTTGCTGTTGATTTTCATTTGGAGAAACTCGCCTGGGTATTACTAAGGTATTCAAGCCAACCGGACACTGGGGTCGCCCAGCATTTATTTCGTCTATCACTCGTTCAAGGTCGTGTTTACTCTAAAAAAGGAGTAGGTCATAATGTTATAATATTTTCAACTAGTTGAAATCATACTGGTGTTTTTTCTAAGCCCTCCGCAGACCGCCACAGTAGGGTAGCTCCGCATAAATCAATTAAAGTTCCATCTTGAAGGATATTGGTTTCATCCTCAACCTTAAATGCATGTTTATAGATTATTCTCTTTATTGAAATATTTCGTGATACGTACCACTTGGCCCCTTTGTTGAGCTGATCTTGACTCTCTTCTGGTAAAAACACCACCTCCAACTGACGTTTCCAGCCACACACCACATTTCGCATCTCCTCCACAAAAGCCACCCTTTGGATGCATTACTAAAACGCCATTTGTTGTTTGACCATCAATTTCCCTACCGTTTTCTTGCCATTTACACGCCTTCTCCTAAACGCATTTTTAAATCAATCTGAATTCAACTTTTTTAGAACTACTTACCCCTAAAAAAATATTTCTAGATGTATCGAAACCGGCCGCATATATTCTAGCTATTTTGGGGTTGTTTCGTTCGCACAAGATTCGACATGCAAATCTCGATATTGTACTCTGATTTACTTTAACCTCTCCAGTTTTATCGCCAGGAATTGTGTCCATTACAACGAAATCTATAGCTGATTCTGATGACCTACCTATCTATAAATTAAGTTCCACGTCAACTTTTGAATAATAAAATGTGGCTAAATTGTATGTATTAATTTTGTGGCAAACAAATTTTATTGTATGCAGGTTTTGTTTAAATTTTTTTTGCGACTTTTTCAAGTAACCACATCTAGTTTCTTGGCAAAATCGCTACAAAAATGGATGTTTCAAGTTCAAACTAAATTGGTTATTTGTCAAAAAAATCTATTCCTAGTCTTTCAGTTCTAATTTTTCAATGGAATATTAAAAAGGACACAGTTTTGGTTAGTTTTATTTTTATGATAATATCCTTCATTACCATAATGATTGTTTTAATAAATGGTAGCTAGCTAATTGTGCAACAATTTATCTTGACATATGAAATATTAATTTAATTAGCAAAAGGGGCCACTTTTCGCAATTTTTGCATTAGAAAAAACTTTGGAGGCAGGACACCTAAGACATCTCTAACTTCGTAATATATTGTCTTGTACCCACAGTCTACTATAAAAAAGGTCATGACGTTTTTAGACATAAATATTTTGGCAAAATATCAAAGAATGAAATTAAAGAGACATTTTTCTGTATTTAGCTGGATTTTCTCTGGAACTCCTTTGCGGTTTACCCGTCGGTCTGCACATTCCAATAGTTGAAACGAATTTTGTATGTTTGACGCAATATATAAATCATATTTGAAGTGTTTAGAGAATGGATTATTCTTATCGCGTTCCCAAACCGAGAATATTGATCCATTTGCGATAACGCTCAGGTAATAACATTCTTGATATTTTTTATGTAGACAATTTAATTTGGTATAAATTAAATTTTATTTTTTTCGAAATGTTATAACAATGCTAATGAACTATTAGCAAACAAAATTCATATTTAGTCCATAAAACAAGAGCACAATACAAACCATGCCCCTAAAGAAACTGTTAATATTCCCCCAGTCCCTATCAAAATTAATAATTTTTTTCTAGTTCTTGGGGACAGTGCTAACAACCAATTTAAAGTTATCTAGTCAGAGTAAGGATCTGGACCAATTTTTTAAAGGAATGCATGAGACATATTTCACCTCACTTGGTTCTCTAGCATGTGCGTATATCAGAAAACATGTTTCACTAAATGTGTAAAAATCAACCTTTTCGGCCAAAACTTACTTGAAACATATCCGTGTCTTCATCGTTCATATATTCGACTATGACAGCGTGATTTCTACTGAGTGTATACGATATAGAATGCTGCGTCGTATCAAGAATCGCTTGGGACGAATGAGGCGTTTTGACAACATAATGCCGCGATTTCTTCACGCCGGTTGCTACAGGTCTCTTGTATAATACAAATTTACTACGACGTCTGCCTCTATCACCTTGAGGTAAAAACCCATTATAACTGAAATGTAACCAGGTTTTTATCAAATAGAGCACACCTATAGGAAATCAGAAAAGCAAATAGAAAATCACAACAAATTATTCTTTTTTGGACTATTATACAGGGTTATTCAAAAAGAAAGAGCAGATTTCAAACAGTTATTTTTTCGAAACTACCAAAGATAGAAACATGATTATAACGTTAATGGATAAAGAAAAGTGTAAAATTTATTACGTTAAAAGTTGCAAAGTTCCAGGACGTTGGATGGGAAGAGGAGGAGAAGATCAACTTTATCGTCAGTAGTCTCCCAGTTCTCCAGATCTCACTCCTTGCGATTTTTATCTCTGGGGCTATGTAAAAGAGTCTATTTTTATCTCTTTTATGCCTTGCCCTATGCCCTTGAAGATTTACGACATCGAATTATGTTCCTATCTTTTGTAGTTTGGAAGAAATAAATGTTTGCAATCTGTTCCTTCTTTTTGAATAGCCCTGTATTATTGTAACTAATTAACTCAAACATCAAATCGCTTGAACCTCAGTAAACGCCTTTCATTTTAAATATATTTTGGTAATAGTTGCTGCATTAAATAAGACTACGGCACAGTTGTTTAAAATTCTTCTCTACATCCAACTAATTCAACATAGCGTTGTCACAAATGTCAGAAACCCGACAAAACTGTGGAGAGCCTGCACTTATTTCATAACATCAACAAAATGATTCTAGTTTGGATACCGGAAGACGCCAGACTGACGACATTTATTTAGCTTAATAAAAAACCTTCGCAACTCAAAAAATGACTATTAATGTGTAAATAAAGAGCCCCACAGTGGATAACAAGTTATGATGGAAAAACGATTTTTTTCTTCATACTTTAACACATAGCTGCCAAGTTAAAACGCCTATGCGTTAACCTTCTAACAATAACCATATTGAAGATAATAATAATTTAATGAACACAACAGTTTCTTAACAACAAAAGTAATTTTTCAAAATAATTATTTTCATTTTCATAATATCGTTAAATTCAACTTACCCTAAAATGACTAGTTCTCCATATTTGACTTGTTGCTTCGGCTTTTCTGAATGGGCACCATCCTCTATTACAGGAGAATCCGTGCCATCCGATCTATAACAAAATAAAATAGTATTGTGCGGCGTTTCGGCACTTTTTTACGCATATTTTTAAGGAGTGTTGCGATTTTTGCGACACTGGGCTACTTTATATGAAACCAAACACGCCTGAAATAGAATGGAATTGGAAAATTGAGATTTTGCAACACCATTCGTATCCCGACTGCAGTGTTGTAATGTGTTCCTTTTTTTGTGATGCAAATATATATTTTTTAACGGAACACCCTGTATATTTTTTACCTATTCAAATTAGGATTTTTTTACGATTTCCTAAAATATATATAATGGAATATATTTATTTTTAAAAATAATCACAAAAATAACATTTTTCTACAATAGTTCTTGCTACATCTCAATTAAATAGTTATCAATCATCGCCAGTACACATGGCTGTCAACATACAGCCACTAGAGATATGGAGACCCTACCTATGCTGATAATACAGGGATTTATGAACTATAAAAAAAAATTCGCTCTAAACCAAAACTAATGCTATAAGTTGGCCATGTCAAAATGTCACTGTCAAATTTGTACCTGACAACGGAGTAAATAAATTCATAAAATTTATTGTGGTGTCAGTAAATAAAAAAAAATTAGCTATCAATTTTCATAAAGCTAAAAAAAAGTTTTGAGAAGGTCCAGGCTGTCAATAAGTTTGTACAGCCTAGTAAGTGAAATGTAGAGGCATACACAGAAAATCGTTTACTTCGCTACGAAAATATCAATTCCGCCTGCGGCGCATCAATTTTTAGTGTAATAGGGCCACTATGTTATCTAAAAGCTATATGACCGTCACACAACAATATAGATACTACATATTCCTATGTCACATTCAACCTTCTGGCGTTTAACAACAACAATGGCCGCTGACAGTTTGCATGTGGCATTTTTTGACAGCATTAGAATTTTTCGAAGAATGAACGAGTTAATGACGCAAAGTGCAAGTTGGTGTGTGAAAGTTAGGGGCATACGCGGAAAATGTAGGAACATGCCATAGCCACTTAAAGCGCATCAATTTAACAGTATTTAGGACCCCAATATTATCTAAGAGCTATATGAGACAAACAAATTAAACTGATTTGTTTTCGCTCGACCGTTGCTGTGCATGCTTGTAAAAGTCTGTACAAATGTGACCGAGTGCAGTAGGTTTTCTATGGAATAGAATACGTTTTGGTGGATTTTGTATATTCAACGACAGAAAATATGGTGTCATTTATAATTTTCCTCCAAATAATTGTAATTATAATAATTATAAACCTGAAAACGGTGTATCTAACTCAAAATAGTGGTTACTCTGATACAAAGTCTCCCGTTTTGCCTTCGATTTTTCAGGAGAAAGTTCAAACAGTCCGTTAACTGTTCCGTTTAATTTCTCTAAAGCGCAGCCAGATGCTTTGTCTTGTAGGTATCTAAATATATACACAAGAAATCAAATATTTGCACAATGTGCATGTTTACAACAATAAATAATTTTATAACATTTTATATCTTGTTCAAACAAAATGAGATGACCCAAGTAGAGCAAAACTTGCATTTTACTTCCGCTTCACCCTGAATTTAAATATGCAACTGCAATTAGAAAGCAAAGCGCATTACTTTAAGGTATAGTTTTTGCAAGTATCCAACAATGATAATGAATCGGTACGAATTTCGCCTGTAGTACTTAAAACATTTTTTTAAATAGATAACTGTTGGCTTTATATAATAAAAAGGAATGCTGTTAACATTATTAATTATTATTATATGTGACAACGACCGAATGAACTTTTCATTTGTGCTGTTTTTTAACTTTTGAATTAAGAAATTTGACAAATTTTCATTTAATGTCATAGTACCATAAAACAAATTGCAAATTTTCATTTAATTAAGCATTTTAGCATATTAGATCATATAGTGGCCTTATTATGCTAAAAATGTGCCCCGCAAGCAAGATTGATATTTTCATAGAGGTTATGATTTTTCGCGGGTGCCTCTACATTTCACCCAGTAACCTGAACTTTGATGCTAAACGGCTATTTTCCACATTTAACTCGTTTTTCCAAAATATTTAACGAGATAAAAGCATATGTTCAGAAAACACTGTCGTAAAAATGCCGCATCCACACTTACTGACTGCCATGTTGGGAGTGGAACGCCGCATTGGTTGAAAACGAAATTTTAAATTTCGGCCATGCACATGTTTTTTTTTAGCTTTAGGAAAATCTATACTTAGTATTTTTTTAATTTACTGACACCACCATACTTTTTTTCTACTTTCGTCTGTAAAATGCCTAACACCGATCTAGCGTGCGGGAAGCGTCACTTTACACGTCATTTTCGCTTGTTATGTTTGTTTGCCAATTCTTACGGTCATGTCAGTGAATGTATTCGAGCCATTTTAGAGAGTCAAGATTTTTCAATTTAAAATGTAGTATTTAATGCAAATTCCATTGCATATATTTTTTACGTCATCTTCGAATTAAAATTTAATAGAAATACTTTCGTCACATTATTTTGAGCCACCATGTATACTTTAAAATAATTTTAAATTTTGCATCCTAACAATCATTACAGCTTTTGTATTTACCATTTTCTCATAACTTTTGGAACCAACGGGAGAAGTAACTTTGCTTTATCGTTGACTCGCCCTGTATAAATTATACTAGTAATGTACCTAGAAAGGTATTTTTGATAAGTAGTTGATGGATTGAAACGGATTGTATCTTTGACTAATCGGAGATTTTTGAGAGAATCTGGTTCTGATATTACGTTTAAGGGACTTCTTAACCTAAGGTTAAGCCTAGTTTTTGAGTACTGGATATGTCTAAAAAAGTGTTGTTTTCCAGTTCGATAGTGATCTTGATGTTAGGAAATATGGAGTTCATGTGCTCAGAAGGCATTAATGTTCTGCTAAACAATATGTTGGAACATTGAGGCGATAGAGGCGGGGTGACCGTATTATAGCGTCTAGAGGCGATGATGCTAATAACGTGTCTAAGAAAACATTAGCGACGAAGAGACCAAACCGGAGGCAGGGAAAAATTGAGTGAATAGTGAATTGTTGTGTGTAAATAATTTTAGCTATTAGTAACTTTTGAAATTTTTGACGAAATAAATTTTCAGCTTTTATTCTACGCGGAATGACTTGTTTAACTTCATCGTCGCGTTTGGCGAACCCCAACGATTTACAAACAGTTAACATTATATCCGAATCGAATTATTTTTGCCCAAATATAAGGTAAGCAGATGAGCGCTAATCGTTCCAAAGTTAATTAACTCCACTCTTTAAAATAATTAATCCCTTGCAATATTCAGTATTGTAAATAGCAGAACACCAGAAACATAAAAACATCACGTAATCCAATTAAACAAAATATGTACCGGTAATAATGAAATAAAACGGAAAACCAAGAAAAACCGTACTTTGTTTAGAGTACAGACAATTGTGGTTTCGCCACACATTTGGCGTACACTTGCTACCTTGTCGCAAATAAATAGTACTTGTAATTGCTACCTAGTATCATATTCCACGGTAGGTTTAAGGACAATAGTAGAACTGAATTGGTATCTAATGTTTCACTTCGAAAGTTATGCAACTATTTGCTTATTAACAATTAACAACGCATTGAATAAAAATATTCAATGTTTTTTGCACAATTAATTTGTTAAGAACTTTTAGGTCACAAAAGGATTTTCATACCTTAATTGTTAATAAAAAAAATAGTTGCCCAACTAAGTCCTCTAAGCTATTGTGGAGTTTGATACCAAGTGACAGAAAATCACGTCGATTAATATATAATTCGGTTGGCTGCGAATTTTTAAGTAGCTTCTAACTATAGTAGATAGCACTCTCCGGTTCGCACAATCGAACCCGATTCTGTACTTACTTTATATCAGGACTAGGACAAAACCATGACAATCAATATTTAAAAAAAAAAAAAACGTTTTTAAACATTCACGTATATCAGTTTAATATGTTTATAATAAGACTTGTATGTGTAATATATCACAATATGTAATATTTAAATATTGCGTTCCAATTATATGTTACAAAGTACCAAAACAGTTCCAAAAAATATGTGTCAGACTAGTGCGCTCCCCACCTACACCAATTTTAAAACCTAGTATATCGCAGCTAGAGCTTAATTAAGTAGAAAGTGCACCTTCCACCTATATCAATTTTTAAACCACCTAGTATATCGCAACTAGAACTTAGGTAGGAGATGAAAATTTGCTTTTAATGGCAAATGGTCTTTAAATCGCGAGAGCATTTTTAAATATCTTTGTAAATTCCTATTCCTATTCTATCTGATCCATTATGTCCGTACCTATTTCACGGGGAATTTGGGTAGTACCCCGGGCTCAATTGAGCTCCTAATGGTCTTAATCGACTGCCCCTAGTGGTGCGCAGCTCTTTACATGATTGGAGTTGCCTCTTCTTCTAAACACATGATACTGAAGTGCCTTCTTAGATGGTAATGTCCGCGCACGCTAAGACTGATAGTCAGTCACTTTCGGCCTTAAGGTGTTGAGGGTCCCGCAATTAGAACCCTCGACTCCATCAATCCTGGTAGTCTCAAACTGCATTTCCATCTCGCTCTTCAGCACGCTACTTTTGTAAATATAAATGGAGTCCCATTTTAAAAATTTTGGAAAAAAACGCAAATGTTGCTCAAGTTTTGAACTTAAAAAAATATTTGGGATTGGGATGGGATTTTGTTAAATGCAGCCACAAACAAATAACTAAACCTAATCAAAGTGTCACTGAAATTTTAAAAACAATTGAATTTCGGAGTAAAGCATTTAGATAAAAATCATTGATTATTAGAAACATTATTCAGTATGGTATTTCAAAAAGTAATTTAAAAAGACGCCGAGCAGTCATTTCAGAACATTTGGCTGACACTTTTTAATAAAAAGAAATAGCTTGTTATCTCCTGTTGAATTAAGCTCTCAAAAAATCGTTGCCACCTACAAGATGGGCCAAAAATTATTAGCACTTTAGACGTAATTTAA